AGATTGTTAGATTTTTTTCATGGGAGTTGAATTCATCCATCCCTATGTCCGACCAATACCCAACCCTATATAGTTTTGTTGAAGCAAGTCTCAGACATCCTATCTTTATATTATGGTAGCCCTAAAAAGTGATTACTTTTAAACGTAATTTCAATAACATTCACATAAACAAATTCATAATATCACGTATTTGGTTAGTGTACACTTCACTAGTATTTTCCAGTTGTCTTGTTTGTTGGCTTTCTCAATAGCTGATTTGTTCAAATTAGAATCCCCAGAGATTCTTCTATAGGAGATATTTGTGTTTTTTTTTCTCTTTAATGCAGTTTGGATTTTATATGTGTTTTAGAGATGCTAGAGATTTAATTGTACTTGTAACAAGATAAGAAGTGAAGATAGAAGAAATGAAAAAAGCAAGTCTAGGTGACTAAGGACCAGATGACAAGAGAATGATAGGGGCATTAGTGCATAATGACATGCCTCTAGGAGAGGAGAATGGCATGTATTTCTTATGTTTTCTAGTTTGTTTATTTTTCTCCAAATAGAAAGATAAAGGGAGAGAATTATTCTTCCCTCATAAATAAGAATGAAAGAAATAATGGACTGTTGTAGGTGAATTTGTGGTAGAACAAAGGGCAGTTTATCTTCTATAAAGTAAGAGGTAACTGGGGTGGAGGATGTTGGCGAAGAGTATAACCTCTGAAGAATGAGAAAGGAAGTTGTTATGTAAAGGCGTGTTTTTATAGGAACCATATACATTCAGTATGAGAGAAAATCAAGTGTTATGAGAGATAGAAGGAACAACTGAAAACAATAGTATTTACAGCTGAACTCTTTATTGCTAGCTAAGTAGTTTACTTACTGTATGTATTACAGCATCATGGAGTCATCCTTTACTGACACCCAGTCTAGCAAGGATTCTGCAGAATTTCTGCTTGAAGCAAAACAAGTGTCCTGTTTGGTCTTTCAGGATATTTCCAAAATAGGCTTACTGGTTTACTTTATAATGAACCAACAAGAAACTGTTAACCCAGTGTTATTTCATTTCTGCTGGAGACCTTCAATATTGGTATTTTCAAATAGTGATAGGTTTCTAAACTCTTGGAAGTCTCTTAACCATCTTAAGGATGTCAAATACTAATTTCAAACCAGGAAAGTTGGTAGACCTTTTGCCTAATATAGTTGGGAATGAACACTTGAATCTTTTATAATTTCTGGAGTTGGCTGAAATCTGAGAAAGGAGTTAACTATTCAGAAAATAGAAGTAGTTCTATGTATAAAAATACTTAGATTTTTATTTGAAATAATTTTTATTTGAAAAATTTTATTTATAAAGGTAAGTTGAAAGAAAGGAATAAATAAAACAAAGTTAACTTTTATGGTTTTTCTAAATTACCAATTGGTAACATTTTATCATAACGTCTCTGTCATTTTATAATATATATGCAGCTGTACACATTTTCCTAGTCAGTTTTATCTTTGTAATAATAAAATATTTTTAAAGTGTTAATCTACATAGTTGAAGATATATTTAGAGATTACCCTTTGCCTTTTCTGCAAAACCCTATTGCCAGCCTCTCCATTTCAATTCTGAAAATCTGTTAGTCCACATCCATATATTTCACACTACGCTCAGATGTAATTTTCAGTCTTCCTGCCTCTCTTCCTGTGGAACCTCAACCCATCCCACACCAGAGCCCCAATGAAAGCTTCATTACATTTTTGTGCTAGAACTTTAGCTATATAAGAACTGAAAAAAATACTTTAACCTGTGGAGCCAGCAGGGAGAGCCTCACACTCCAGTTCTAAATAAATAAAAATATATCTTTTTAAAAAATTAAAAAGGGGCCCCTTCCTGGTGGCGTAGTGGGTTAAAGCACAGCACTATGAAACGACCGCAGCCACTACAGCATGAGTTTGATACCCAGCCAGGGAAGTGACCCATGTGGTGTGGCAGACCTCTCCTGTCTACCTGCTGCTCCCCTCTGCAGTGTATTTCAATACATCTGTCTGTTCTGCTCTGTCTCTGGTGGGTCCTTTCACCCCCACATCTCTGACCTGTACTCAGTTCTGTATGCATAAATAAATCTTTAAAAAATTTAAAAAAGAAAGATTATGGACTAATCTCCTAAGCACTGTTTAGAAAACTCCTGTAGCAACACATTGGTACTTGCTACTAAAAACATTTTTCTACATAATCCATAATAGGTTATTGTAGGACTACTAGTGTTTCTTAATAGTTTTGTAAGCACTTTCATATATCTTCCCTCAGCCTTATGAAGAAGGTAATGCAGGTATTAGATTTGAAAACTCAGCCTTGCCAAGATTTGCATTGCTGGGCATTTTTAAAACCCTCAATTGAAATAATAGTTACTTGTCTGTTGTCTTAATGCCTGAGCTAGTTAGTATCAAAGCTCCAGGAGAATAAGACCTTTCATCACTTGGTTTGCTGCTGGATCACTAATTCCTGGGACATTGCCTGGTGCATAGTAAGCTGATTATATAGTTAAATGAATGATCTGAACAAACATTAGGGCTTTGAACTGGATGATCCTCTAGGTATCTTTAATTCTAAAGTTCTAAGTTTGCCACTAGGAGGGAAAACATTAAGAGTCAAGGATGAAATAGACAGGCTCACACATTTGGATTTTTTGGGTTGTTTTTAGTAATAATACAAATTATGAACAGTACTAATACTGCTTGTAAGAAAATAACCTGCTAATAATTTAGAATAAATTAAGGTAACTAGCTCTTAATGGTGCTTCTTATTTCCTTTCTTTTCTTGAATTCCATGGGAATAATATATACCATGTGAATAATCATATGTACCAGCAATAAACAGCAGGTAGGAAAAGAGGCTAAAATATATTGAAAGAGTCAGTGTTTGGCTGGGGGGAAATGAAATGAAGAGACTTATTCTCTCTCTCTTAGTATTTATTTATGCATACAGAACAGGGCTACAGGCCAGAGGTACAGGGACAGTGAGAGGATTCACCAATGACAAAGTTGGGAGCAGAACAGGCAGATTGAGGAAGTACATTGCTGAGGAGAGTAGCAGGCACGACAGGCTAAACAGGGCGGTCTGCTAGACAGGAGAGGTCTCCATGCCATGTGGGTCCCCTCCAAGGCCAGGGATAGAATTCATGCTGAAGCAAGCAGCTGCGGCTCGCTTCATTCACAGTGCCGTGCTTTGATCTGTTGCGCCACCAGGGAGGGCCCCCCCTCTTTTTTTTATTATTTCGTGTATCATACTGCTGTTAAAGCAGAGTTGCCTATCACCAGTGATTAACTCTGGCTACCATGTCTTTTTCCTGAGAACTTTTACTAAGTGCCTCAGTCTTTTGTTTTAATCAGCCTTGAGACTTGTTCTCCAGACTTGTTCTCCAGAATTGTCTTAAAAACAAGTAGATGGCCCATATGAAATTGTCCTTCTGTGTCTGCTGAAATAGTGTTGAGTACACAGTATATCATGGAAAAGCAAACCACACATTTAAACCAGTGACCCCAGTCCATTTTGGATGACTTCCTTGTTTCATTTAAAGTTAGTTCTCTTAAAACTGATGGAGGGACAGGAAAAGAATATTGGGGGAAGTCTAAAGGAGGAGTGCTTTGAGGAATTAAAGATAATGTATTAACCTTCTGGAGGTGTTTAGACATGACTTTATAAGGCCGTGTTGCAGGGTGTTTTATTCTCTCTGGTAGTGAACACTAAATTTGAAGTGTATTGCTAATTTTTTTTCTTCTCCGTGGCCCCAAGTTATACTGGAACAGGAAGTATATTTGCCTTCTATACTTGTTAAAGTACCTTCTGTACTTTGGTCATTTATTTAAAGTTGACATAGGGTCAGACCTCTCCTGTCTCAATAAATCTATCATGCTCTCAAAAAAAAAAAAAAAGGTTAAATAAACTACTTGATATACGGAGAGGCTATATGCAAAACATCCCTATAAAGGTACTTGTGATAAATATAGTCAAAATTTGGAAAAACTCTCTGGAAGAATTGATATCTTTCCTCTCTTACAACTTAAATCTGAGACAGTTTTTTTATTGTGTACAGGGCAGTGTCACAGTTCTCATACAGGCTCTGGTTGACACATAAGACTAGGAGGCTTTCAGATTTACAATTTTAACTCACCCTTCATTGAACTTCCTTGAGAAGTTTCTTAGGGAGTGGGTGTTTTACCCATGTTTCAATTATAAAATGATAATTTATTATCTTAACTAGAAATATAGATATTAACCTGTTCCATTCTTACAGGCATGGAAAATAAGTCTCCAGATTTATTATGCTTACATGAAAAGATTTTATTATTGTGACTCTAAAATATCCTCAGATTTAGTCTAACATCCTGTCCAGAGCCAGTAAAAACACTGACTCTCCAATTTGTGAATATATTTCTCCATTTATTTATATTTGAAGTTTTTTGAATTCCAGTGCCTTGAAATGCTTTTGAGTTTTGTCCAATTTTACACATTTTTGTGAATAACTATCATGGATCTTTCCATGTATCCATAACTGGAATGCCTCCTGAACTACTTTTACCCTGATTATAGCTTTACATTTCTGTATTTTATATTCTTCTTCTTTTTTAAATATTTATTTATTTATACAGACAGAACTGGGGTACAGGCCAGAGGTGCAGGGTGGTGAGAGGATTCACCAGAGATAGGTTAGGGAGGAGGACTGACAAAGTACACTGCTGAGGAGAGCAGCGGGTGAGACAGAAGAGGTCTGCCATGCCATGTGGGTCACCTTCCTGGCCAGGGATCAAACTCATGTTGAAGCAGCTACAGCTGGCTTGTTAGTGCTGCACTTTAACCTGTTGCACCACCAGGGAGGGCCCTATTTTCTTCTTTCTTAAGAAAAAAATTTCTTCTAAAATATTAGTTAGGTATGATTGTGCTCTCCTCTAGCTTCAATACCTTGTAGAAATTCAACTCCAGTAGAGAAGAAAACTGCAGTCCCTTTGTAACTTTTACTTCATGCTTCTCTTTTAAGGGTCTCCAACTGCATTCCTTGATGAGAAAATGGGTTATCAAGGATATCAGAACAACCAGAGCTGGCCAGAAAATACAAACTTATGCTTTGAACCTGAGCAAGTGGTAAATCCTATCCAGAATGGTAAGTACAGATTTTCTGTGACTGCTGTATGTGAACATGAACATAAATATGAAAAAACTACAACTACCCCTCAGCAAAAGTATTTTAGCCTAAATATAACCTGTGACCTAGAACAAAGGTATAATTACGTTCCTAAACATTTATTTGACCCTTTCCTCACTTTAATCCCTTTTGAGGCCCTTGGCCCTCTAGTTCGTTTGCTTCAAACCAGTTTTGAGTATATTAACTGAAACTCACATACATTGAAGATTAAATGATCAGTAGTACCTTCATCTTAATTCTTCAAAAAGGAGTTATTATTAGTTAAATAAATAATAATTTAGAGCCTCCCTGGTGGTGCAGGGGTTTAAGTCTTATTTCCAGTTCCTGTGACTTGAGTTCAATCCCTGACCAGGGAGGTAACCCACATGGTGCAGCAGACCTCTCCTATCTGGCCCATTGCTCCCCTCAGTTGTGTATTTCAGTAGTTCCCCCTGTTCTGCTCCCCACTCTGTGATGAATCCTCATACTCCCTGCATCTGTGTTCTACACTTCAGTTCTTGCATGCATAAATAAATCTTTAAAAAGATAATAATTTAATAATTATTATATCAGTTGAATTATAAAGTATAAGATTAGATGAGATGACTAAAGGAGAGAATATAAATAGAGAAAAGGTTTTTCCTCTTACCCCCAATCACTCAGTTTTTCTTTCTATTTTTCAATATTTATCAACTGAAGACCTTCCTTGACTTGAACTAAAATATACCCAGAGCTCTGGTTAATACCACAACTCTAAACTTCTATATTTTTACTGCCATGTCATAGATATCCAGTAAAAAAGTAATGAACTTTGGGGCCTTCCCTGGTGGCACGACAAGTTAAAGTGCAGCACTATGGAGCTGTCTGCAGCCACTGCTGCATGGGTTTGATTCCCAGCCAGAGGGGTGACCCACATGGTGTGGCAGACCTCTCCTGGCCCGCCCGTTGCTCCCCATAGCAGTATATTTCACTGCATCTGCCTGTTCTCCCCACTCTGTCTCTGATGAGTCCTATCACCCTTCCCATCTCCCCTCTCTGGCCTGTGTCCCTACCAGTTCTTATATGCATAAATAGATAAATCTTAAAAAAAAAAAAAAAGTAATGAACTTTGTAGAAACCATCCATTTTTACATGTGGTTTAGCAATCTCCCAACCTATGTGTAAATATTATAGCTAAGATTTTATTGATGTTTTAAGCATCCTGTTCTCCTTCAGTGGAAATGCACTAAGCAAAGCAAGCAGCAGCTACCCCAAACCAAGTTAAGACTTGGGAGAATGAGTGTTTATCATCTCTCTCATATTTTAGATCTCTTGCTGTTCTGAAGATGCAGCATAAAGACCCTGTCATCCCCCCAACAGTTTCTCGTTTTGTTTTCTGCTTGATAACATACCTCTCAGTGCAGTGGTCTCCCTTAATTCTGAAATCTCTTACTAGAAGTTGGTACAGTTGCATCAGAGCCTCAGCATAAACATTCTCTAAAGACTTGTGCTTTATTATAGCTGCTTCTGACAAAGTGCCTTAGTGAATTAGTCATAGCATCACCAAGGAACTAGTTAGAAATACAGGGCATTACGGGATCCTTCAGGGAGCTCAGGCATCTGTTTTTACAAGCCTTCAAGATAATGCATATATATGCTAAATTTTGAGGAGCTTTCCTTAGCAGAATTATCACTAGACTTACTTACATTGCTCTTTTTTCATGTGAGAAGGGAAAGGGCTTACCTGATATTTTCAGTCTCTTTATTCATGCCATCTCATGAGTCTGGAGTTTATTTACTTTTCAACGTATTAGCTGTTCATCATGCCCCATACAGACAGATTTTAAAGTGCGGTTTTTTCCCCAGGACGTACATATAAGGTGAAAATATCTTCATTTCACTTGTTTTTCTTTTCTTTTTTTTTCTTTTTTAAGATTTATTTATTTATTCATACAGAACTGGGGTACAGGCCAGAGATGCGGAGGGTGAGAGGATTCACCAGGAACAGAGTGGGGAGCAGAACAGGCAGATCATCTACGAAGTACACTGCTGAGGGGAGCAGCGGGCCGGTCAGGAGAGGTCTGCCCCGCCATGTGGATCTCCTCCCCGGCAGGCGGATCGAACTCATGCGGAAGTGTCTTAAGCTTCTTAGTGCAGTGCTTTAACCTGCTGCGCCACTAAGGAGGACCCTCACTTGTTTTTCTTTCTTTCTTTATTTTTTTAAAAGATTTATTTATTTATGTATACAGAACTGGGGTACAGGCCAGAGGTACAGGGGCGGCGAGAGGCTTCACCAGAGACAGAGTAGGGAGCAGAACAGGCAGATCGATGAAGTACACTGCTGAGGGGAGCAGCGGGCGGGTCAGGAGAGGTCTGCCACGCCATGTGGGCTCCTCCAGGGCAGGCGGGAATCAAACTCATGCGGAAGTGGCTTTAGCTTCTCAGTCCTGTGCTTTAACCCGCTGCGCCACCAGGGAGGGCCTTGTTTTTCTTTTTAAAGTAACCTAAAATGAATGTAAATATACATTGAAAGTTAAATTCTTTCTGTATTTTGTACCTCTTAGTATATTTTAGAATTGAACATTGGTTCTTTTAGTTTTTATATACTTGCTGGGTTTTTGATTTAAATAATCAAATTTTGGAGACTATAAGATTACATATAATAACTCATAAGTAGTTCAAAGTAGTAGCTTAGATTTTAACTTACAGGGCCCTCTCCTGTGGCACAAAGGGTTAAAGTGCAGCACTATAAAGCTAGCTGCTGCAGCATGAGTTCAACCTGTGGCCAGGAGGTGACCCACATAGCGCAGCAGACCACAGACCTCTCCCGTCTCACATGCTGCTCCCCTCAGCAGTGTACATCCTCAATCTGCCTGTTCTGCTCTCCACTCTGTCTCTGGTGACACGGTCACTCCCTCACACCTCTGGCCTATACCCCAGTTCTGTATGCATAAATAGATAATTTTTTTTTTTTTTAAAGATTTATTTATTTATTGGTACAGAACTGGGGTACAGGCCAGAGATGGAGAGGGTGAGAGGATTCACCAGAGACAGAGTGGGGAGCAGAACAGGCAGATCGACGAAGTACACTGCTGAGGGGAGCAGCGGGCGGGTCAGGAGAGGTCTGCCACGCCATGTGGTCACCTCCGGGGCAGGCGGGAATCGAACTCATGCGGAAGTGGCCTTAGCTTCTTAGTGTTGTGCTTTAACCCGCTGCGCCACCAGGGAGGGCCAAAATAGATAAATTTTTTAAAAAAGAATTTTAACTTACATAAAGAAAAGGAATTTTGACTTACAGGAAATGAATTAGTGAATATTTATGGATTCTGTGCCATGTCTAGGCACATATTATCTCATATTACTAACCAATATTTATTATAGAATAATAAGGAATGTTAATCTTTCTAGTTGTAATCACTGGGAATGAGTTTTGAATTCATTCTTTTTCCAGATCCTCTTAAGATGCTCTTTGATGATGGCCTGTCAGAGTTCCTCTTCCTTCCAGGTGGAACAACCAATGCTTCAACATTTTCAGAACAAAATGATGCCCTGCAAAACACTTATGGTATGACTTCTCTATCTGGATTTATTATTTAAATCAAAACAATTAATGTGGCCTTTTGTCTATCACCACTGAAGTTTAGTAACTAGATAAAGTCATGGTTAGGGTCTTTGGCTATGACATGGCCCTGGCTAGATTAGTTTAAGAGAGAGAATTCACAGTTAGGGCTGCTCAAGGACTCTTTTGAGATTTTGAATCCTATATTTTAGCCCCAGATTCTGTCTCTACAGTTTACTAGTTAATGCCATGGGCAAGTTATATATCCTCCTTATACCTTGCTTATCCATAAAATGGGTCCAACACAGTGGTGATTAAATAAAGTTACATAAAAGCATAATTTCTGATCGCTAGTAAACATTTTAAACAGATGTTAATTATCAGTAAATGGTATTCTCACTTTTTTTTTTAAATGATTTGTTTATTTATGCAGTATTTATGCATACAGAACTAGGGTATAAACCAGAGGTGCAGGACAGTGAGAGGATTCACCAGAGACAGTAGGAAGCAGAACAGACTGACTAAGGAAGCACACTGATGAGGGGAGCAGCGGGCGGTGAGGTCAGGAGATTTCTGCCACACCTTGTGGCCACTTCCGGAGCCAAGGATCAAACTCATGCTGAAGTGGCTTTAGCTTTTTAGTGCTGCGTTTACCCACTGCGCCACCGCGGGGTGGGGGGGTGGGGGGGGCCCCTCTCACTCTTGGTTTTACAAAACTTTAAATATGAATGTGGCCAGGGTACTATGGGGGAGGCAAACCTTAATTTCTAACCATCTTAGGTTTTCATCTGGGACTTGTTAACAAGAAGTTACATTAATAAGAGAAAAGTTTCTTGATGTACATAGTATGCATCCATGTAGAAGAGTAGTGAAAGTGTAGCTAAGAAATTTCAGCTAATGTGGCCCTCCCTGATGACACAACGCCTTAAAGCACAGCACTGTGGAGCTATCTGCAGCCACTGCAACAAGAGTTCGGTTCCTGGCCAGGGAAGTGACTCACATGCCATGGCAGACCTCTCCTGTCCCACTCACTGTTCCCCTCAGCAGTGTATTTCAGTCAAGCTGTCTACTGTGTTCCCCACTCTGTCTCTGGCCTCTACCCCAGTTCTGTCTGCATAGAATAAATAAAATTTTTAAAAAAGACCTTAAAGACAACCTGTTTCTTTTTCTCATCAAGTCTTAATTTCTCTAATAATTTTATTATTTGTTCAAATCCCATTTTTCCCTCTCAGTTAGGCAAGATATATTTGAATTAAACTAATCTTGTCCCAGACATACTCTTGTCCTGTTGATATTGTCATACTTTTCCTGTCCTCTTTATTCTCTATCCTTGAAATTGACTATTCTCTCCTCTTCCTGCTCTTTCCCCCCTCTGAAACCTTCTATAACTATTCTGGTCCACATGCCTGTTCTTAAACTCTTGAGAAGCTCAAACTATATAGTTTGCATTATTTCATATATGTCTATTTTGCTTCTCTAAGTGAATTGTGATGATCTTAAATGGCAAACACCATGTGATAGTAAATCTCCTCTTGTGTCTTTTACATTTGTGTAGTTCTTAATAATTTTGCATTTTCACTAACTTATCTTCAATGTTGAAAAAGGAGGTGTTAACCCTCATTTTACAATTGAGGACTTTAAGGTCACAATCCCTTACTGTACATATTCTATATATCATACTATATATACACTTTATATATCAATTATGATCTTGGAGCTACAGCTCAAGCTTTAGCATTTTCAGTTCTTATAATATACTGTAGAAGGTAATCAGTGTTAACTAATAATACTGTAGGGATATAGTGGTACTATGAGGCCATTAACAAATATCTAAAAGCAGTAGAATGTTAGCAGCTTTTCACTTGCAACTACCTTGCTTTGTTTTCCCTTGGTCTTTAGATTTATGCCCATATGGCAGTATATAAAAGCTGATTTAAATTTCTGATTTTTTTTTTTCCCCTCCAGTTTGAGCAGGTTTCAAAAACTTGTTTGTGTTTCAATATTAGGTCTATTTCCTTGTGATACCTTGGCTCCTGAGGGCTGGTCTGTGGAAGCCCCAAACACTCCACATTCAGCATCCCTCACTTCCCCAGAGGTCATTACCCAACCTCTGCAACCCACAGCAGGTAAATTCTATGAAGCCCTTTTTATCAGTTAATGGTCACAATATCAATAACTGATTTATCAGTTATCAGACTTATATTTCACAGCATATAACACTGTAGATAGAAATTTCACAACTATCATAAATGTTTATGAACTTATTAATTTCATAGCTGGAGGAATTAAGCTATAGTTGAAATATACCATTTGTAGTTAATAGGCCAAGAAAATGCCTTTTTAATTGAGTGCAGATGTAGAATTCTTTGGTTTTTCCTTTGAGGTCCACATATTTTCCTTCTGACACTAAAATTGTGTACCTGTATTTTTTGTTAAACCTTTTTTTCTATCTCTCCTTTATCCTTCTGCCACTACTGTTTGTTCTTCCAAAATCCTATTCTAAGCGTTGAAAACATTAGGTATGTTAATTTGAGAGCTTCTCAATTAAGGTTGCAAAATTCAGATACTCCTGAGCATTTAGAAAGTAAATTTTGGGTGTAAAACTATGAATATACAATGATGGGTCCTAAATATTCAAATTTATCTTCCCTAGTTGAGGAGGTAGAAATGGCATCAGCAGAAGAGAAGACTCCAGCAAAAACATTGGAAGCAACAATGGGACTAAAGGCTGTTGATATGACACCACCTGGTAATACATTGGTGGTACTGGCCAAAGATTTGGTACCAGCCACAGAAACAGGGGTGAAATTGACTAAAGACATGGAACCACTTACCAAATCAGATGTTGCATTAGCCAAGGACATGGAGTCATCCATTGAATCAAACATGACTCTAGTCAAGGACGTGACCCTACCCATAGAACAAGAGGAGGCTGCAGTTCAGGATATAATATTTCCCACAGAAAAAGATGTGTCATCAACCAAAGGCATGGGACTGCCCACAGAAATAGAGGTAACCCCAGCCAAGGATGTAGTACTATTCAAAGAAACAGAGAGGATACCACCTATACAAATGGATTTGGTTCCAGCTGAAGGCATGATACAACCCACAGATAAAGAGATTGTCCCAGCCATGGGTGTGTTATCACTCTCAGAAATAGAAGTGGCACTGGCTAAAGATTTATCACCCACTGAAAAATCCTCAGGCAAGGAGGCAGCCTTGTCTTCAGAAGCAGAGGTGGCTCTAACTGGGGATGTGGTGCTGTCTCCAGAAACCAAGATGGTCTTGATCAGTGATGTGGAATTACCCCTAGAAACAGAGGTAGCTCCAGTTAAGGACATGCCTCCATCTCCAGAAAAAGAAGTGATCCCAATCAAGGACATGGCTCCACCTCCAGAAACAGAAGTGATCCAAGTCAAGGACATGACTCCACCTCTTGAAATGACCCTGGGTAAGGATGTGGGTCTGTCCCCAGACACAGAGATAACCGTGGCCAAGGATGTTCATCTTCCTCCAAAAACAGAGGTAACCCGGGCTAAGGATGCCCCTCTGTCTCCTGGAACAGAGGTGAATCTGGACAACATTGTGACTGTAGCCAAGGACAATGCACAGCTCTCTGAAGCAGAGGTTGCATCAGTTCCAGTTAAGAATGTGGAGATTGCACAGAATGTGGAAGAAATAAATGAGGACTCCCAATTAGAATGTCTCCAGCATACAGGACAGTCAGCAGCATCTGCTCTTGTGATTTTACCAGGTATGGGCTTATACTTGAAGTGAGTATTTCTGTCTCCTAGGGTCTAGTCTCCTGGGGGGCAAGAGATGGAAGTCATGCCAAATAAAATAAAGATAGTTGCATTATACTTTGCAAGTCTATACACATATTTACTCTCAGACACCTGCTCCTCACCATTACCCTTCTGCAGTTTCTAATACCTTCTCCATCCTGCTGTTCTCTGCTGAACTTCCTATTTACTTAAAATCACAGCAATAAAAAAGATCATTCACAATGACCACTGTCCTGTCTACCTTGCTATTTCTGTCTGTAACCATAGATTCTGTTACTATAAGTAAACTTTGACTGGTCCTAATTAAATCCAACCTCCTATGTGGATTCAGTCCCATCTTCTTTTGTCTACTTTCTCTCCTTTCTTGCTTCTTACCAATAATTTTCCTTTTATCAAATCATTTCTACCAGCAGACTAGTTAGTATTTGTTATTTTTCCTACCCTACAAAAAATGACACTCCCAACTCTACTCTCCTTCCACTATTCAACTACCATTCCGTTTCTCTGCTGCCCTCATAGGGCATTCCTCAAAAACCAATTAGAAATTTCTAGAAGTTGGAGAAATGGCTATAAAAGGGCCCTCCCTGGTGGCGCAATGAATTAAAGCACAGCACTATGAAACTACCACAGTCACTATAGCACAAGTTCGCTCCCTGGCCAGGGAGGTGACCGACATGGTATGGCAGACCTCTCCTGACCCACTCACTGCTCCCCTCAGCAGGGTATTTTAGTTAGCTGTCTGTTGTGTTCCCTACTCTGTCTCTGGTTAATCATCTCACCTCCCCTCTCTTCCTACACCTCTGGCCTGTACCCCACTTCTGTATACAAAAATAAATATTAAGGGAAAAAAAAGCTATAATAATCCTTCTCTGAAACCTTTGTGGTTTTTCTGTTACTTTTAGAACCAGTCACAGCTGTGGGCCAAAAATACAACTTGCCAACATCCAAGGATTCTGTGTTAGAGAAGCCAGAGAAAGAGAAACCAGCCAATAGTCAACCTTCTGAACATTCTTCAGAGCCCTCTGGTAAGTAAGGAAAACAAAGTAGACTCTGATGCTCAGAGTGATGGGTTATTGGTGGTATATATTGCCCCTAGTTGTATGGTGTAAATCAGCAATATCTTTCATGAAGTCAATTGTCTTTCTTAGATTTTGTCTTATTTAAAAGAAAGTCAGCTTGTTACATATTTTTAAATAACTCAGAGACATCTAAATTTTAAACCATTTCAGCTATTCACTGTTATGTTCTGTATGGGCTTAGGCATATCATTGGACTTTGTCCTTTATCTCAGTTTATTCAGCTCTAAGATTAATAAATTGCCCAAACCTAGGCTTCTGTAAATTCTAACTACTTCACTATATTTCATGACTCACCAACATCTGCACCATCTGGGAGCCTTTTTGTTGTGCAGAATCTTGGATTCCACTTCAGATGTTCACAATAATAATAAGCATTTTAAAAATTTCCCTAGGTAATTAAACTTTGAGAAACAATACTCCAAGATACTCTCTACTTAAAGTTTGGCTATTTTATGTATTTGTATGTTTTTGATGGTAGCAAGAAGCACATTTATATGATTATTTACTTAGTGATTCTCTGTTTACTTTTCTGTAACTGTGACTTCTAGAGCATAAACTGGACAACAGAGACCACGATATATTTCACTTAAATCGCTAGTTCTCTACATTGTCTAGGCCAGTTTGGAGCTAAATAAATGGTTGATGTTTTTAATGTTGTTTTAGTAACTCAACATATTAAAAGATTTATCAAATCTCATGCTAAAGCACAATAGGTATTTAAATCTATTTTCTTGTTCTTTTATATTATATCCTGGATGGCAAGAAAAATTCACAGGCATGAACTCTGAAACCAAAAATCTATATTAAAATTGAATGAAATAGTAGATTAATTGCCAACTTTCAAATGTTATAAAATCTATGGAGAACTCAAAATTGGATGATTTTTGAGAGCATAATTGACCTGAGGTTTAAGTACAGGCTAGGATTTGCAGGACATTAGAGGAGTAAAAATAAGAACAAAAGGTACTTTTTAAGTATTTTAAAATATTTAATATTTTTTGAAGTCATTTCACTAGGTCAGACTGGACAAGAGCTGTCCTGGGCCTGCTGTTAGTGGGACTCTTTCAAGGATCTTGGATCCATAATGCAATGAGTTGGAAGCAAGAGGTTGAATCAATTGACTTCCTGAAAATTTTCCAGAGGGTTATCATCCTAATTTGTTTAGTTCATTACCATTTATATTTATCTGTCTTTTGGAAAAGTGCATTTTGAAGCAGAACATTGAAATCTGAAACATTTGTCTTTTAAAGTAGGATGCTCTGTTTCTGGAGTGATAAGGACTTTTCTCTGGCCAAAATATTAATCCAGTATTTTTTCTTTTTCTTTTTTCCCCCAGTAGTGTAAGTCTGGCACTTCTTGGTCTGTTTCCCTGAATCAATCTGGTCAGTTTGGCAAGAAATTAGTATAGTATTAGTGTCAGACTTTTAGAATAATAAACTCAAAAACATATATATTTCACTCAGCTATGTAGTAAATATCACCAAGAACTGGTGATATTTATATCACCAGAACTGGAAATTTATATCTCTTAAAAATAATGACAAATATAACTAAGTATCAGATGAGGTATATAGGCATTAATTATAGAAGTTAGAAAATCTGTTTGAATTTCTTTACAAATATTTTGTAAATATGTATGAAAAAAGTCTGTACCTGATGATAACCTTTGTTAAATATTTGCTAATCCCGTTTAAGGGTGAGGTGTTTTGGAAAAAAGCTGTTTTCCTAAGTGACATAGTATGTGGGCTGGTGAAAATAGACTACTTAAATGATCACTAAATGAGTTTCTTTTTAAAGAAACAATAACGAAGAAGATATTTTTTGGGAATTTTAGCCAGCTTCATGTATTGCAGGTCCCCCTGCTACACAAGCCAAACAAGTATGCAGACCCAGTGACCGCAGGTCCTCTCGGCCTAGGCCTGCCAGGATCCGTCCTGAGCAGCTGGGAGGCTCTTCACGGAAGACTTTTGATCCTGGGCTGGGCTCCTGTTCTTTGTCTGAGTTAGGTTGGGTCTCTGGTTCATCTTCCTGTGGTGAGTCTGGAAACCAAAGGAAAACTATTCACGTTGACTCCCTTGAACCCCAGAGAGATCTTGGCAGGGAGACCTGGGATGTAGAAAGCATACCAGTGTTGATGAAGAAAAAAAAGAAGAAATCAAAACCAAAAAGGTATCCTCAACCCCCTTTTGGGGGATCTTGGGATAATGAAAATGCAGATAAGCCTCAAGGTCCTCTTTTTGTAACTGACATACAAAAATCAAATGTTCTTCCCAGCCACTCTACCACAATGGGCACAGAATGTGAACTGGTATCCAAAGAAATCTTGAAAAATGAATGTGAAATTGACTCTAGAGCAGCCAAACTTGTAGCCGATAATTTTACTTCAGACAGTCTCAGTATTCCTTTGTGTCCTTTGGAAGAACTCCCTAAAATTGCGATAAATTCTCAATCCAATCTGTGGGTAGAGGCCGAAGTCAAAAGTAACAAGTCAGTTCCACAGAACCTAGACAAGAAATCCTTACAGCAAGATGAATGCAAACTACAACCAGCCCCTCACCTGCAGACTCTGGATAAAAACACAACAGTAGACTCTCTCAATCTGAAAGGCACCCTGATGGAAGTTTCTGCAGGCAAAGTAGGAAATCCTTTGGAGATCAGACACAAAGAGGATTGCTCTTCTATCTTGGACCAAGAAACTACAGCAGGAGTTTCAAAACCCACAGCAGCAAAAGAACTGCCTAATTTGATACCCACTTTGACAGCAAGCAATCCATTAGACGGAAGTCTAAAAGAAGGGAATGATGAGAATAAAATGACTAAACTGCCGAATAACAAACAGAAAGAGTTTTCCAAAGGAGCTGAAGAGGTTAAAGAATTAAAAAAGAAAGTTTTTCCTAAACAAAACCAAGAAGTGAGCGTTTTTGCTTCTGAACAACAAGACAAGGTGTTTATTCAGGTCCCCGAGTTAGGAAATGAAACTTTTAAGAGAATGACAGGTGATGGCAAGAGCAAGAAAAGTAGAGGAAGTGCTGGGAAAGTGAGGGCAAGTTCTGGAAAAGGAAGAGCAAGGTCTGAGCTGCCATTTCTTTTGGACAGCCAGAAAGATGGCAACGTTGTTTTTGTGCCAAGTGAATCAGCCCCTAAAAATGAAACAATGGTCACTGAGGGTAAAAGTGAGGTACTGGGGCAAGCTTCTTCAAGGCAACCAGAGGCTACGCCTGATCTTAATGAGGCAGTGGTAATAGGGGAGCCTAAGGAAATAACTGACCCTGGAGTGTCAGGCACCTTGCAAGTATTGATTCCCATGGAAAGTGGGTCAGGCATGACTAAGACTTCTGGTGCTAACACAAAAGGAAGAATAGTAGCCAGAGATACAGGGATTGGTAACCAGAGCAAGGAAGGGAAGGTGCTTTCGATGGATCATGAGGCAGCTCACTGGATTTCTGAGAAGCCTAAAAAAGGCAAAAACAAAACATTTAAAAACAATTATTCCACACAGCAGGAGAGACTGGAGAGCAAGGAAGAAACCCTTAATCCACCTATTCTAGGGAAGGATGGAGATGCCGGTAGTATTCCCCATCAAAACAAGGAATTAGGACTCACTTTTCCCATAAATCATAACCCTTTGTTCTCACATATGTCAGATATACCCACAGTAGAAGTAGTTGAGCAAAAGGGTAGAAGTACTGAGATTAATTCTTTTGAGCTTGGGGCTCTTAGTGAGAACAAAACAATCACAGTCAAGGATTCTGCTATTACTGAAACAGCTACCAAGGTGACAGATGTGAGCTGCCAAGAACAAATCCGGGGAGTAGGATTTGTTCCTTCAGTACTGTCTGAGGAGAATAAAGCAGATGTAGCCAAGGGACATAGTGCAGTGACTGCCAAACAAAATAAAAGGAGTAATGATGGAAAAAATAAAAGGGTTAAAAATAGTTTTCCTGAGAAGAACATCCTAGAGAATAAGATGGATGCAACAAAAATACATGTTCCTATGGAAACCACAGGGGACCACAAAATTGAAGCAATGGGCTATATGGATGAAAATAGTAATATTACGTTTACTTGCCCAAGAACACTACCAAGGGTGATGGGTAAAACAGCCCCTCTGGAGACTCTGGAATCAGCAGCTTGTGAAAAACTGCCTGCTCCAGTAAAGGAAATTTATTCCTTTCCAGATACCTTGACAGAAAGTAGGGAAAAGACAGATCTGGCCCAAATTTCCAAATTATCAGTGGTAGACAATTATAGCAATGCGGGAAACCCAGACCAAGAAAGACCCAGTACTCCTATTGCTATTATGCCCTCTATAAGCACAGGAATTGACCCAAGTTTTACAGCAGCCATAGAAACAGTTAACAGTCATAGCGATAACTACCTTAAGAATAAAGGTGAGCTTGCTGATCCCAAGAAAAATGAAGCAAGGATAGATGGAGGAAATGTGAGTGGAGAATCTGAGTCAGTGCCCATTGGTGCTTGTAAACATTCAATAGAGAAAATCACAGAGCTAAATAAGGGGCATATTTTTTCTGGAGTGCCAATAGAAGACCAAAGTCTGCCAGGTGGGGTCAGAGACCTAGAACTATATGCAGATAGGACTAATTTTCCAATATATCCAGTAAACAAAAAGAAAGAATCTAAAGAAAGGTCTGCTCTAGTTCAAATTTCTGACTTACAGGGAGACAGGGCACAAAAGTCTAGTTTCTGTAAGGACCAAAATGCTGAAGATAGAGATTCTATGGGCCTAGATAGTTTGAATACAAAGTCAGATGTGACTCTCTTGCCTCCAAAAAGTGAAAAGGATAAATTGGAAGAAGTTAGTCTGGCTTCTGGAAATACAGAATTGGAATATGTTTCCTTGGTGACACCAGAATTGACATCAAATTTCTTAGATGGCAAAGTTGAAGCTGCTCCTTCAAAGGCAGAAGATAAATTAATGATTGCTT